TACTACAACTCTGATAGCGACGGCTTCGAACAACATCTGAAACCGCTACTTGACTACATCGACCTAAAAAACATGGATCAGTTCAGCGAGTTGATCCTCCGGTGTTATCTTCAGCTTTGCTCGGATGTTGTCTTGGGCTATGCACAATACGAGCATATTCAACCTGTAATTTCACGAGCAAAGTCGTCAATTTCGGCACTTCGCAACGTATTAAAAATAGTAGACATCCCACCCGCCCCATCACTTCTGCATGTTATTTCTTTAAAAAAATGTAAAAACGAAGTAAAAAAAATCCTGCCCCTGTTAATTGCCAAGAACTACTATATAAACCATAAAGAATCAGAGACTTTGCAAAGCCCACCGAATCGGACACTTCATATTATTATTGATGAGGCCCACAACATCTTGTCTGATCAGTCCACTCGTGAGCACGAAATCTGGAAAGACTATCGACTTGAACTTTTTGAAGAAATCATTAAAGAGGGGAGGAAGTACGGAGTTTACCTAACACTATCAAGTCAACGACCCGCCGATATTTCACCCACAATTGTCTCTCAGATTCATAATTTTTTCATACACCGACTCGTCAACGATCGTGACCTTATGCTGCTGGACAATACTATAAGCACACTCGACTCCTCCTCTAAGGCTTTGATACCTACCCTCGCCAAGGGCTGTTGCGTAGTCACCGGAACAGCATTTGACCTCCCCATGATTCTAAAAATTGATCCGCTGCTCCAGGGCCACCGACCGAGCAGCGATGATGTCAATCTTGAGGAGCTATGGCGGACACCTCCGGCATAACCCTTTATCCGCTTAGAAATGTCTTGTACCACCCTGGAAGCGCTGGATGCGAGCCTGCCGCTCCAACTGCCGGTGCAGCAGGTCGATCTCTTTGAAGTCACCGCCGCTCTTGCCTTCCTTGAGGATCAACTGCACCAGGCGCGCTTCCAGCGCCCCACCGATGCGCTCGACGTTATCCGCCCGGTCCCACTCGTCGCGGGCCTTCCAGCTATGTAGCGTTTTTTCCTTTTCGCCCGTAGCCTCGGCAATCTCGCAGATACGCCAACCCATCCAATACAGGAACTTGGATTGGCGTCGGGGATCGATTGGGAGCAGTTCAGTCGTAGTCATGGCCGCGATGCTGCCGCCCACGCCTGCGAGTCAGTAGCGCCGCCCCTTGTAGTCCCGCTCTCTACAATCCCGTCCCGTTGCCGCAACTCGCGCGCGTCACGACCATGCCCCTCATTGCAACGCACTTAGCGCCCAACGCATTGAGGATTCCCGGCATGAAAAAATTTCGCAGCAATTGGTTCCGTGTCGCCGTCGAGGGCGCTACCTCGGACAAGCGCACCATCAAACGTAGCTGGCTGGAACAGGCGGCGAAGAACTTCAATCCAGCCACCTATGGTGCTCGCATCGCCTGGAACCAGGTGAGCGCGGTAAGCTCGCCCGGAGCATTGGGCAGGAGCTGCGCCGCAGTCAGCAGAAGCGCGTGATGGCTCAGGAGAACCCTGACGGGACCAAGTTTGCGCCGCGTAAGCAACGGAACCTGCGTGGAAAGCAGGGACGTATTCGGCGGAAGCTTGCGATGTTCAAAAAGCTGCGGACTGCGTCATATCTGAAGGTCCGTGGTGACAGCAACGGAATCGCGGTCGGATTCACTGGGCGTATCGCCCGGATTGCCAGGGCTCACCAGTACGGATTGAAAGACCGTGCGGAGCGTGGTGCTCCCGATGTGCGCTATGACCAACGCGAAATACTTGGGTTTAAAGATCCTGACATCGACTTAATACGCGACTGTTTATTGGCGCACCTGTCTGCTTGATTGCGACAGATGGTAGCCTTGTCACTCCTCATCGAAAGAACAACCAACAGAATGAAAACCAGACAGGTAATAGCAAGATTCGCTTTAGCAATAATTATTTTCACAGCTTTTTTTACCATAGCTGCGACTCCATGGATCATGAATAGAACCTCCCCAGAAATGGGCATATACACTGGCGCCACAAGCGGCTTCCTACTTTTCATTTTGCTTCTAGAACTCAAAGTCATGCGCTTTCCAAAAGGCATGTTACTCATAGCGTACGGGGTTCTTTTTCAAGTTCTTTTTACAAAGTATTATTATCTGTTCATAGATCAAGCGAGCCCCAGCACTGAAGACTTGAGGGTCCAACTTGACCTGTACATGCAGGTTCTATTGTTTGCCTGCGCAGGAGCAGGAGGCAGCATAATTGCAAACTATGCAGATAAAAGCTCCAGCGACTACGAGCAAAGCTCACCAACCAGCATCGTTTTCGACAACACCAAAAACATCGACCTACTAAGACACAGCACAAATGAGATCGGAAAAAAAATAAACGTTGCAATAGTCATTTCTACAATCTCAATGGTGGCTACCACGTTGATCTTCATCGTATTAATTTTTAAGTAAAAGCTGACATCAGCTTGTAGATAACGGTTCTACAACCTACGAATACTGCACTCTCGCACGCGTGGCGCCACCATCGGCGCCATGAACGACTTCGCCACCCTCTCCCGCATGCTCGAAAACCTCATCCGCTTTGGCGTCATCGCCGCCGAGCAGATGGAGCCCCCGCGCGTGAAGATAAAAAGCGGAGCACTGGACACCGCTTGGCTGCCATGGCTCGCCCTGCGTGCTGGAGCTGACCAGGAGTGGGACCCACCAACTGTGGGTGAACAAGTAATCCTGCTCAGCCCATCCGGCCAGCTTGCCAACGGAATCGTCGTAACCGGTCTGTTCAGTGTGGAGATTGACTCAGGGCTGTAGGGGAAGATGTCGTCGCCAGCCTTAGGCATTGACTGGAGAATGTGCCAGGCCTCGTCCGGCATCTCTGTGAGCGTGACCCCCTTGCGATTTGCGCGCTCGATCGCACCTGGCTCATCCAACTCCGCCCCGCGTTTGCGCGCCCAAGCCTGCGCAGCCTGTTTTCGGGCGAAGGTCTGGCTCTCTTGGTAGACTTGCACTCCGTCGCGCTTGATGCGGATCTGAGCCGTGTAGCTCACAGTCCCATCTGCCAGTTTTCTTGCCCTGATAGTCGCCATATCGAAAGTGGTACGCGTCAGTTTTTGAGTGGTACATCGTACCACCGAGCCTTCAAAAACGCCTGAAAACGCCCTAAAACCGGTCAAGAACACGTTGAGTAAAATGCTAGATAAACAGAGCTTTAGCCCAGCAGAATCAAGCCCCGCACTGTCTCGGCGCTTTAGCGTTGCACCCATGATGGATTGGACCGACCGCCACTGCCGGTACTTCCTGCGTCTGCTCTCCAAGCACGCCCTGCTCTACACCGAGATGGTCACCACCGGCGCGATCCTGCACGGCGACCACGACCGCTTCTTGCGCCACAACGAAGCCGAGCACCCGCTTGCACTGCAATTGGGCGGTAGTGTCCCCGCCGACCTGGCCGCGTGCGCGCGTATGGCCGAAGCGGCCGGTTACGACGAAGTGAACCTGAACGTCGGCTGCCCCAGCGACCGCGTGCAGAACAATATGATCGGCGCGATCCTGATGGCGCACCCGGCGTTGGTGGCGGAGTGTGTGAAGGCAATGCGCGATTCGGTGTCGATTCCGGTGACGGTGAAGCATCGCATCGGGATCAATGGGCGGGACAGTTATGCCGAGCTGTGTGATTTCGTCGGGACAGTCAGGGACGCGGGTTGCACCAGTTTTACCGTGCATGCGCGGATCGCGATTCTGGAGGGGTTGTCGCCGAAGGAGAATCGCGACATTCCGCCGCTGCGCTATGACGTGGCAGCGCAGTTGAAGCGGGACTTTCCGGAGTTGGAGATAGTGCTTAACGGCGGGATCAAGACGCTGGAGCAGTGCCATGTGCATTTGCAGACGTTTGATGGCGTGATGCTGGGCCGGGAGGCTTATCACAATCCATATCTGCTGGCGGAGGTGGATCAGCAGCTGTTTGGCAGTGACGCGCCGGTGATCAGTCGGGCAGAGGCGTTGGTGCAATTGCGGCCTTATATTGCGCAGCATTTGGCGACCGGTGGTTCGATGCACCATATCACTCGACACATCCTCGGGCTGGGCACCGGTTTCCCGGGGGCGCGCAAGTTCAGGCAGTTGTTGTCGGTGGATATTCACAAGGCGAGTGATCCGTTGGCGTTGCTGGACCAAGCAGGGGCGTTGTTGGAAGGGCGGTGAGTTGCGGTTGATGATTGGGTGGGCTGCCTGCGCTCATCGCTGCGTAGGTATCTACACGATTCTGAAGCAACCACATTTGGATTGCAGGGCAACAGATAGATAGCGGTCGGCTGTCAGGCCGCCTTCGCAGGCAAGCCAGCTCCCACATTTGGATTGCGGGGCAACAGATAGATAGCGGTCGGCTGTCAGGCTGCCTTCGACAGGCAAGCCAGCT